TGTGTGTGTGTGTGTGTGTGTGTGTGTGTGTGTGTGTACGGAGTACACTACTACTGTGTGTGTGTGTGTACGGAGTACACTACTACCGCGACCGTGCCACGGCACGTTGCACCAAGATACATGCGAATAAAGCCAAACATCAAAGCAGCACTGAGCGCAGGGTGACCATTCGGACTGGACAGAAAACCATAGTACGGGACCTCTCATTACAGATGTTTCATCATACAAAAAAACACACAGGACTGTTCCAACGTTTCTTTCCGACTCTGAACCCGAAGGGCCAATTGCACCATCCATTTGTGAGAGTACACAGGGGAAAGAGTAGATGGTGAAAATGTGAGAAAACTCAACGCCCAGCATCCTCTTCCCAATCAGTCGAGGCGCTCTCCGAGAAACATTGCTCAACCATGGATGGCCAAAAAAAATCATATCAGTAAAACACGTGATCTCTGCATAGCTGTGAAAAATAGGAGCAGTAGTGCGCAAAGTATGGGTTCAAGCAGGTAACCCAGCACTTCACTCGTCACTACGTCACCATTAGATGCACCCAGTCGCCCCGGTCATTCGTACGGAAGACCTGGCAGCTCACCATCCTACAGCTATTCCCATCGTCGATCCAGCGGGCCCACTCTCCGGTCATTGGTCCGACCCTCGGCACACACTACTTTGAAAAGAAGAGCTCAGTGCCCGTACCCTACAGACGGAAAACAGCTGGCATGAGAGCATTATCCCAGGGATGCCCTCCATTTTCAGGAAACCATCCACCGCCCACCAAAAACTCCCACTTAGTCCGAGGGACAGCACACCATACTCACGGTCGTTTCCAGCAGGCGACGCATCCCCACCCCCATCCATGTTCCAATCCCACCCCTCATCCACCCTCCCCCCAGGGCTCATCTGGCAGCCTCAGTCCTTCCCCAATTGACACCGAAGATCACCGCGGGGCCACCCTCTGGGTGTAGAGCCGCCCTCAGAGACACACACCATCCCCTCTTCAGGGATCGTTCCTAGTGCTAAGTCCTTACTCAATCCAAAACGACAGCTGCCCACAATCCCGACCGGTTGTTGGTCAAAAAAGTGAAGCACCACCCTCCCTGCCCTTCGTCCTCACATCGCCCAATCCCAATTCATTATCGCCCCAGGACTCCCCCTTCCACGTGACATACAACAGAACTCTTCCCCCGCCACCCATCAAGGGGCACTTCAATAACTATGGCAGCATATCTACCATCATTCCACTAGTCACCGGGTCACCCCCCACCCGCCATCAAGACAGACCACGATCCTCGCCAGATACTAGCGCCTGAGTCACTCCACGAATAAAAACCGCTCGAGTCCTCCACTCAACAAACAGCACTCTCCAACTCAACCAGAACCCATCCTGGCCAACAATTTCCGACAAAAAACAGAATTCTACTGGCAATACACCTCTTGGAGATGAGTAGTCATTCACAGTCCGCACCCGAAGCAAAGGCAAAGTGCAGGGATGAAGAACCCAGGAATTTCATGATGATACGCCCCATACACAAACGAAATCAGCCCGAATCCCTTTACGAGTGGAAACAACCTGAGCCCACCACCCGATGGCCTCCGCTTCTCCTACCCAATCAGCACCCATCCTGTCTAGCCACTCACTCTGACAGGAGACAAAAATCCATCGATAATACAGCATTCGGGGATGAGTAGGCATTCGCAGTCAGCATCCGGAGCGCAGGCGAAGTACAGAGATGATGAGTCCAGGAGTTCCATGATCATATACTGACGAAAGCATCCCGTGTCACCCTCCAAAAGAGAACAGCCTGGGCCCGATGTACAACGGGCTCCTCACCCCTACCTAACCAGCACTCATCCTAGCCAGCTACTCATCTCTACAAAACACAGTCCCACAACACTCAGAGTAGACTATCAATCAGTACTTGGAGCAAAGGCGAAGTGGAGGGGTGATGAGTCAACGCTCCACCCTTACACGAACGAAAACGTCAAACCATGAAAGCAACCAGCCACTCTTTTTTGACAAGAAACCGAATTCCGTCGACAATACACCTCCGGTTAGCAATCAAAAGCAACAGGCGAAGTGCAGGGATGGAGAATGCAAGAGTACCGTGATGATAGGTCTCAAGTATACACCAACAAAACTGGCCCGAATCCCTTCGCGAATGAAACCATCACCCAATGATCACCGCTCCCCTACCCAATCAGAACCATCCTGGCCAGCGACTCACTCCGGCAAGAAACAAAGACCCATCGACAATACATCGAAAATACAGCATTCGAGACGAGTAGCCATCCTCAGCCAGTATCCGAAGCAAAGGCGAAGTGCAGGGATGGTTCCATTATGCTAATCATTCATATACTGTCAAAAAGCCCTTCGTATCCCTCTTCTCGTCCTACCCCTCCTCTTCTCACTCTTTTTCTCCTTCTTCTCAGCATGCTTACTGATTAGTGCCACCTGGGCGTCGTGCTCATGGCCTCCTCACATGTGTTGGGATCCATTATCGCATCCCCCTCTTGCGTGCATCCTGTGCTTGATCGCTTCTGCCCTGTGACCCCTCCTTCAGAGTATAGTTTTGTTTTGGATGTCTCTGATTTGGCCCTGGTGGGATGGGCCTTGGTGGTCCTGGGTAGGGTACGGATGTGGAGTGATATCATAAAACTCGACCCACCATCCCTGCACGTCGCCTTTGCTTGATGGTGTTCGTGGATGATTACTCGTCCCCGGAATCTGTTTTTTGTAGGGATAAGAGGCTGGCCGGGACGGTTTCTAATTGGACAGGAGAGTGGAGCTCAGCAGTAGGTTCGGGCTGTTTTCGTAACGGAGGGAGAGTCGTGATTGGATTCGATAGTGTGTGGGTGAGGCGTCTTATCACGGTGCTACTGGACTCTTGAGTCGTCATCCCCGCGCTTTATGTCTACTCATCAGCGAATGCTGCATTATAGGTGGGGTTATGTTCTTTGTCAAGGTAAATGGCTACCGTGGACAAGTTCCGATTGGATGGGAGAACAGGGGGCGTTGAGCGATGGGCCCAGGTTGTTCTCGCTCGTGGGGTGATTTGGGCTGTTTTCGTTGGTATGGGGATAAAGCGTG